GATGCACGTTCTCAATGGCTTCGGTGAATCAGCACACCAATTTTTGGCTTTGCATTTGTTTCAGGGGGCATCCCAGAGGTCTGTGGCCCATATAAGTGAAAGCGGCGAGGGATTTTCTCGAGAGATGAGCAAGAAAACACGTCGTCAATAGCGTGAATAGAGTGAGTTTCAAACTCTGCAATTACTTATGTAATGAGCTTTTACTATGATCAGAACCCTGCAGTAAACAACAGACTACTTTGAGGGGAACCTTTCCACATGAGCTTTGAAGGCTTTGTATACACCAAAATGCTGCACTCAATTACTCAAGAAACTCTTTCCATGGACAAGGGGGAACCGGCATTAAAATTTCGGATATAGGGTTGGAGGGGGGGGGGTCCGGGTCGGGCTGAAAAAAATTTCTAGTCAATGTTATAAACTAGCTTCCAAACTCCTCAAAACCTTGTTTAAGGGATGTGGGATGAGTCCTAGATGTGTTTCCATGCTTAGTGCTTGCCCAGAGACAAATTCCCAATTTGGGGTGGCAGATCACAGGCTGACTACCAAGTGAGAGCCATGAAAAATTATTTCTTCCTCAGAATTTCGCATTGAATGAACAGAAAAGTGGCAAACTGAAAGAAAATAAAGAAGGTAATTAGCAAGCACATATATTGATACTTTTTATTGTGACATTCATTGCAGCCAGGTGCCCCTAAGTACGACGTGACGAGTTACCGTGAACACCCAGATTGCCACCAGATGATACATTTTGGTACAGTGGGCCCAGTGAATCTAGGAAATCATACCCAGAAAATCTCAGACTGCCACCTAGTTCCATCTGTCTTGTATAGGCTTGCAGGATGTGTCATTGCCAAAGGATTGAACTTGCAAGACATGCAGTGGACATGGGCAGAATCCAAAGTGTCAAAGATGGGTCTAGACAGTGCAGGGAAGGCGTAGAGTACGGTAGACAACCATAATTAATGTCAAAAAATCCAGGGCGCCATTTACAGAAAACCGGCTCGAATCCGGATATACGGCCCGGCATCAGGGGTGAGAAACTCCTTCCCTACTGTACCATTTCGACCAAAGGTTCAGGTGACGGGTGACGAAGGGTCATGAACTGAATCATTTTGTCCTAGGTGACGGTGACGGAGCGATTTTGCGGCTTAAAAGGACTAAAAATAGCGAAAATTTCCGGTCCGGCTTCCCCGGACGTCCAAATATGGGAAATTTGTGTGATTGCCGAGAAATGAATATCCGGTTCAGTGAACAATTGAGGTGACGGTGACATGGCGTGAACCTTTGGTCGAAATGGTACAGTATATGGAAGGAGGGGGGGGGAGGGGGGGTCTGCTCGAGGTCGAAAAAAACTTTTCGACCCTATATCCGTTTTTCGAATCCCGGTTCCCCCTTGTCCACGGAAATTGTGTGGACATGGTTTCCGGTAGTTTTAACTTAAGTTTGGTGAAGGAGTATGGTAGAAGGCAAAGGTTACATTGAATAGACGAAGGCAATCGCTGCGGTGATTGGTCAGCCATACACTATGCCATACAAGTCTCTGCCATCATACCTATAGTTTCATCATTCTGAAGAAAACACCGTGTGCCACTCGAGGTGCGGTCATCAGGGCAGAAAACATCGTCCATGATCCAGCCGAAGCAAAGGTGGCTGCGAGCACAGGGGATCATACATAGGAGGCAAGAAAAGAGACATCCTCGCACCCTTGGTGTCCGTGCAAAAATAAAAAGCCAGAAAGGACACGTGTACCCATCGATCAATGAGCAGAGGGGAAGCAGCCGTACATCGTCCGTGCATCTCGCTCGCACGTCGCATAGACGAGGGTACGCAAAAAGGCCAGAACGAATGCACTCGATTGCGCAAAGAAGATACTCGGAATCTAATTCGAATCCTCCCACAAACTCGGAAGGTCGACCCCACAAAACATGAAATCATCGCCAACGCAAATGAGAAGCGACCAAAAACTCACCACTCCGCTCACAATACAAACAACTTGAGTGCTTCCTCCCGTGATACATTGCGCGCCCAGCGTCGGGTATATTTCCGTGACAGCCCGAGGGCGAAGTGATTGTGGAGCGTGCCGAAAGGGAGGTGGAGCGCGAGGAGGGCAAGCGTGCTGTGGTTGTGGATCTGCATATGAGTGGGAGAAGTGAAGAGAGTAGGAGGGGAGCAAAGAAAGCAGAGATCAAGACGACCCCAAAGCAGCGGAGTAGAGGTGAAGGGAAGAGAGAGGATGGGGGAGAGATGAAGGCGTAGGTGCAGGTGAGGCGTTAGGACGTTGGCACGAAAAATACGAGAAGATAGCGATAGAAAGGGAGAAGGGCAAACGGGAGAGGTCTGTAGAGAGAGAGAAGCGGATGGAAGTGCGGCGAAGCCGTAAGTAGAGCGGGATGGGAGAAGAAAAAGAAGAAAAGAATGGAAGGAACGGATGGTAGGAAGGAGGGTGCGAAGGGGATAACAGTGGACGATGGGAAGAAGAAGAAATGAAGGGACAGCACTCACGAGTCGAACAAGAACCATACCACGCCGCCGAGGGTGGCATCTTTCCATCTTCGTTTGTCGGGAACACAGCCTAGTCGCCCAAAAAGTCCTTAGTATCAAGTCCACAATCGCGGAAGAAAAGGGAGCGAAGAATCGGCCGTCCGCTACTCACACACCCACGCACATCTTGCCGCATCGTCCGCCGGTGGGAGCCGCCGTACCGGGAACAGAGGGATTGCAGATGAACTCGACCCCCGTTGACCCGCGTGTCGATCTCACGCCAGTTCGAGTCGCAGCCGAAGGCGAGGGTGAGGTGCGGGTGGATTGCGCGCAGGTGGAGAGGGGAGGAAAGGATTAATATGTATTCTTTGGCTTGGGGATGGAAAATCAGCGTGGACTCAAAGTAGGCGGAGGCGTCGGAGCCTCGGAGCAAAGAGTGGAGAAGAAAGAATGGTAGGTGGCATGGGATCTAACGGTAACAGGGGGTAGCAAAGAGAGGAGGCGCACGTACCTCATCGAGAAGTCGCCAGGGTCCCTGTGCACGAAGCTGCCCACGAGCCCCGAGTCCTTATTCCGAAGCTCCCCGTATCATGCGCCACGCTCCTGCGTACCCTCAGCACCAGCTCGGGCTTTGCAATCTTTCCTGTGGGCAAATGCTGATCAGTAGAACGTCTGACGGCACGCCAGTCCAGGCCTGAGCCCAAGAGTCCCAGGCATTTCCGAGGGCAAGTCCACGTTGCCGCGGCCGCAGCGAGGAGAGAAAAGCCTAGCGTCGAGCCACCAGACATCACGCCACAAGGTCCCCCTCCGGCCCAAGGAGAATCCATGCATGTTGCCCCAGCCGTAGAAAACAAAACAGCAACGGAATTCCACCCAGCCAGCATATTTCCGTCGTATGGCTTCTCCGCGCGCCGTTCTGTACGTAGCGTTTCCTCTTCCGCCGCCGCCACCGAGTGTTGAGAGGACTGGCTAAGGATGGACACGGGTACACCCGCGGGTACCTTCGGGCTTACTCGTACCCGGACCCGTAAAAACCGTACCCGTGTACGGGTCGGGTCTAAAACCCGTACGGGTTACCCGCGGGTCCTCAACACACCCGCGGGTCCCCAAACCCGTGGGGTATACCCGCAGAACTTCCGGAATAAATAATATTTTATTGTCAAATGCGGTGTAATAAAGTGTAGACTACTCAACAATCTTAACAATTTCATTTCCCGAGCTATCTGCATCGTCCTGGGTCTGAAACGCTTGTGATTTTCGGCGCTGCATGCTGCTATTAAGTCGTTTATTTGAAGCAAGTCGCGGTGTCTTCAAGATCCCAAAAACCCGCGGGTACACGGGTCGGGTACGCGGGTTGAGCACGGGTCCGAACTCGCGACCTGTACCCGTACCCGCCCACACCCGCGGGTACAAACCCGCGGGTGTACCCGCGACCCGTGTCCATCCTTAGGACTGGCATGAGGGCAGGGCCAGACATTCCGAGTCCATCCCTGATTGCAGCTCGGTGACGGTAGCCGGTTCCCACATGAAGTAAAAAAACCAAGAAACACGAAGAAGTTGGCAACGCGTTGAAGGCAAAAACTTGAAGAAGACGGAAAAGCTGTGCGTGTTTGTGTACAACAGATTGGACCTGATCGATCGGGCGTGTTCGGCCGCCACGACCATCGTCGACTCCAGCACGCTTGTTCAACGCTTGTTCTGTCTACGTTTCTCTGGACCTTGTTTTCTCGGCCCTTTGAGATGGATTCTTTGGTGCGTTCTCCTGCTTTCCGTTCATTCCTGCTCCTCCTCCTATTCATTCCTTCCCGCCCAATCCGCCTTCCCTCCCGCATGGCCGAGCGGATTGAGCTGACCCTCCCCGCCAACCAAGAAAACACCTCCCTCTCCTTCCCCGCCTCTCTCTCCCCCGGGCTCGCAGTCCACCTGCACCTCACCCTCGCCTCCGGCTCCAGTGATTCGAACCGCCGCGAGATTGAGTCTTGACAACCCCCGCGACGGAGACTGAGCCCATATGCGACCCGTCTGTCGCGGTGGGCGCAGCGAGCGCAGTGGGAGAGAAGTCCGACTTGGATGTGAATGTGCGCGCAGAGGGGACCGCGGCCCGTCGCGCAGCTCCCGCCCAGGGACCACGAGGCGGGGTGTGTGTGGGTGTTTGAGTGGCGGACGGCGGTGCGCGCGCGTCCCTTCCTTGGCAGCGATAAAACTGATTTGTGCGCGGGAGAAGGCTGCGTGCTCTACGAGCGAAGGCGTAGCTGTTGTGTGTCGTGAGTATTGCCTCTTCCTTTGATTTGCTTCCACCATTTCCAAAGCCGTCCTTTACATGCTTTCCCCCCCCCTCTTCCCCTTCTGCCTTTCTCCAGTGATATCAGTAGATGTGATTAAATTTTGCCACGAAATTGTATATCATGAAAATTAATTTTCTACACAAATTGCTATGAACTTCTCAGCTACCCAAACGGGGTCCCAAGATTAATCTTAGACTTATAAGATTAAATCTGATGAAACTGAATGATAAAAAGTGCCCTCAACCGGATTTGAACCAGGAACATTATGACAGTGCATACAGAAAAGCACAATGTATTACCACTAGACCATAAGGCCCATACTCCACGCAAAGCAAGGATGATTTAATCTTCGCAAAAATTCAATCTAGAGTTCCTGAATTTGCATTTTTGAGCCTATTTCAGCCATAAAATCTCAATGGCATTGTGACCAGTGGTTCAGTTCAGTGGGCTGCATCATGTGTCACCTGAAAACTTGGTCAAAATGGTACAGTAGTGCAATCACACATACTCTCTACAACATGTACAACATGAAACGGACTTATAGATATTTCCCTTTTTCCCTTCGAACGTGCTTGATATGTACAAGACGCGATAGACATAACGTATATCTTGCTTGGTGTAGTGGTTATACTCTACCCTTTTCCGTAAGCATTCTCAAAATGTTCCATGTACAAATCTGGCTGCAGCCACTTTTTTATCTTTCCGTTTCATCAGATTTGATCTTATAAGCCCAAGATTAATCTTGGGACCCCATTTGGGTAGCCGAGAAGTTCATAGCAATTTGTGTGGAAAATTAATTTTCATGATGTACAATTTCGTGGCAAGATTTAATCATAGCTGCTGCAACCGTTGCTTTCTCTCCTACCCCTACCGCCGCCCCCCCGCTTCCTATCTCGTATCCCTCCTCTCGCCTGCGCTCCCCTCCTTTCGTCTATCTTCCCCTCTCGCCTCCTTTTTCTCTTTCCTTATGCTCGTGATATGCTGATCAACCTACCACACAGCACGCTCACCCTCCTCGTGCTCTACCTTCTCGAAGAATCTATATGAAGTTTGCTTAACCAATTCCCGTCTCAACGCAAAATCCCACTTAATCACTGATTCTTTGAACAGACGGTATCGAGATGAAGTCGGGTGTTTAACCAGCAATTCTGAACCAGGATTAAGAAAACACTGTTCAAAACGGCAGCGAGCAGCGGGAGAATATCAGTCGATTAACAAAACAGTGTCAATTGGTCGGCAAGGTGGCTTCAATTACCAACTCCCATGGGCAGAAGGTGGCGGATTAACAAAACAGTGTTTAACAGATCCCGCAAGAGACCTCGGGTATTTTTGGATTACAGACAAAAAGGAGCGGAACTTCTCCAAGCACTGCATCCACAAGGCCAATTGAAGAGCGAGCTCCCGCGGATGCAATGCCACAGGTCTAGTACGCCTTTCGGGCACATGAGCAACACTCGAGAATTGAGAGAACAGAAGGGGTTAGCATGGCTGCGGCGATACTCAAGCAGAAGTGAGGACTGGCTGCAATAAGAGTGGTGCATGCGAAGAGTGTTGGACTCAGATGATCATGATAGGAATGAGTGGGTCACTGAAGAAATAATCGAGCATGTATGGCTCACCGTTGATATCGAAGCATTATGGAAATAAAACAGCGAGACAGACATCGTGGCAGAAATGATCGAGAAGATTAACAGAAACGAAAGGAGATAGAAAGAGAAAATAAAGACTTTGTGTCATGACTCGAAGTTGAACCGGTGTTGTTGAACTTTCTGGTGGACTGGGAGTTGAATCAAGGATTAAACAGTTGAAAACCCAAAACACGAACCAGAGGTTCGAGGTATTGATGCTGAAGGGGTTCGTTGAGAGGTTGGTCCGAAACGGCATTTTGGAGCGGGGGCCCGATGAAGTCAGTGTTGAAGAGGCCTGAAATGGTTCGATGTGAGTGGAGATAGAACCGAAGAGAGACAAGAAACCTGACTGGAGACGAAGGTCGCGTGGAGCTTGAAAGGTGTGGGTGCCGAGAACATCGGTTGGTAGCTCGAGAGTGATTGAACAACATGTCAGAATCATACAGATCAGACAAGTTAAAAGGAGGATGCGCATTAGCGGAGAGGAAGGCTTCATTGGATACAAGATGGAAGTGAAGAGGATGGAAGGAGTGGAAGTAAACAAGGAAGAGCGCACGAAAAGAAGTAAAGATCAGAAGAAAACAGCGGCGGAGAGCTCGAATGAGGGGCGAGGGGCGACGGTGAGCGTTGTAAGGACTGCCCAGTATCGACGTCTTCGTCGAACCGGGTGACTACAGAAATTGGGCAGCCTCAGATCCTACGACACCAGAGGGGACGTCCTAAGGCCCACAGTGTTGGTCGGATGATGAATAACAGAGGATGGACAGTCTGTGAAGCATAAAGACCAGTGTGAGGATGGGGTGTGCGAGGTGCCGCAATTGTTCCTCAGGGTCAAAGAACTTGAAACCCGGGATCAATTTTGTTGATTGATGAACTTGAAACAAAATCTTCTGGATCAATTGACAGGGTCGGGTTACAGTTGCCGCCAGCCAGGGTCGGGAACGGTATGATTCCGGAGTGCAGTGAATAGGAAATGCACAACCTCAATCTAAAGAATAACAAGTGCGCGGTGGAGTGCTTTGCACTCGCATAGGTACCAGAGTTGTGGACCTGATTGACCAAAATTTGGCTTCAGACAGGCGCAATTTTATAAAGAGACAGGAGAGAGAGAATTCAACCGTCACAGTACTCAAGCATTTATCAGGTGTAGATTTGCAGACAAACACTTGGAGTGCATATTGGTTGATAAAAGACAGCAGTGTTGGAACTGACCCAATGTGATCCTGTTCGTGTATGTCACGCCCTCATATTTCAACCAGTGCTGTTAGCTGTTTGTCTTCAATCAAATGTGAATGATGCAAGCGAATTTGAGTAAACTGGCCATCTGCTGCAGCCATGGTGGCATATAGGACTCGTCAAATTTACAGACGGACCTAAAACGCATCTCGCTCGGCCGGAAAACTCCGATCGGAATCCATATTGTTCAGATCTTTGATTGATATTTGCAGTCAGATTAGGTTTTTATTTAATCAGACCTTCAGGGCCGTTGCATTCCAATCATCAACGGAAGACGGTTTAAAATGGCCACGAGGTCGCAGATATTCAGGTTCGTTTGATGGCCCAAGGCTTTGGAACAGCCGTTGACGCCTTAGAAACCTGTCTCCCAGTCACTCTCATCCTCTTCCCTTCCACCCATGCTTTCTCAGAACGACGCCAAGGCGCCCGTTCCATCGACCCCACGCGCAGACTCACAGCCGTATCCCATTAAACTGGCAAATTCTTGAATATGCGGGGCCGAGGTATGTCTCTTCGTCACCGACTCTGCGGCACCTGGGAAATGACTGCGAGGACTCAGGAAAATCGGACGGACCGGCCGACAATCGGAAGTGGCGCAACTGATCTCCCTATCTGCTAACCCAGACTCAGTCACTACACAGAACCCCTTTCAGCATCCCGCACCGACAGGTGTCTGGAATCGAGAAGGTTATCAAGTATGTATTAATGCTCACATTTGTTCATGTCCGCAATTAGGTTCATGCAAACGAACAAGTCGAGCAAGAGCGTCCAAACGATTCAATGCCGGTGAATGCTTCTATTTTTGCCCTCAAGATTCTGCCACTTACTATGCCTTCGTGAGGGCGAAAGAGGGACACAGCACGATAAGACCTCCCTTCCGTCTTTCGTGATGACCAAGTGACGTCAAAATTTGTCTTCTCCGGCTGGTCTATTATATCGCGTGAGCGTCAACTGGTTGGGGTATACACCAAAGGAATGGACAGGTCTCTCTCTTCGTGTCGTTCGAGATAATTCAGGGTTTCCAGGACGGACGAGCAAATTCTGGGCCATTCAACCAATCACTTCAAAATCTCCACGGCGTTCACCGTTCAATCCAAGCATTGAAGGCATAACATCCATCCTTCCTGAATCAATTTTATACACAGCCTTTGTGAGTGCGCGCTGTTGAGCAGATCGAGCACAATTCTCCTTTGCTAATCCGTTTAGGCGAGCTTCCTGGTCCTCCTTCAATAAACGGTGGGCTTGTTTTGGTTTCACACGCGGTTGAGCAGATTTAATATTGTTCTGGTTTGCTAATCCGCTTAGGCAAGCTTCTTGGTCCTATGTCAATGAACAGTGAGCTTGTTTTGGTTTCGCGCGCAGTTGAGCAGATCTAACACTGTTCTGTTTTGTTAATCTGCTCAGGCTGGCCTCCCTGTCAATTAACAGTGAGCTTGTTTTGGTTTCGTGCGGGGTTGAGCAGATCTAACAGTGTTCTGTTTTGTTAATCCCCTCAGGCTAGCTTCTCTGTCCTCCGTCAAGAAAGGGTGAGCTCGTCTTCATTGAACGCTGTTTTGATAATCTATGTTCATCCGGCTTACAGGATTTAAGATCCAAATATTGAGCGGTTGGGTCTACGTGGAACATTGCAACGTGAATCGGGCGGCTGAGTATTATCCGTCCTCGCTCGTCTCTGTTATGGTTTAAACAGCTGTTCGGATAAGCCAAACTTTACTTAACAATGAACTTGTTTACTTGAGAATAAATAATAGTATCAGTGCCGTGCCTTAGGCCTTACCACTGGCTGGATGATTAAATGAGCACTGATTAAATGGGATTATGCGTTGAGACACAGATTGCTTAAGCAAACTTCATATGGTTACTGCTTCTCGCGCTCTACCTCGCCCTCGGCATGCTCTACAATCATTTTGCTTTGGGCCTCACGGGGACGGACGCGGTTCGCGCTCGTGGGCGGGTGTATCACAGGCAGGAGGTGTGGAGGGACTGGGTCTTTTCTCGTTGTTTCTCTTCTTCTTGTTTCTTTCGCTGCCTTTTCTTTCTCTTGGTATTTGTCTCGGGGATGTTCCCTAGTTCCTTGTCGTTGATCTTTCGTGAGGAGTTGGATTGGGCTCCGATCCCGCGACTCGAGTCGGCTCTCTTCGACATTGGTTCGGTTCGGTGGAATTGGATCACACTCGTTCCATCCTGGGATCGTTGACGTTTCGCGTGCGAGCGGCATTCTGCGAGTCGGTTACTTGCGAATGCGCCTTGGTTCTGTTGGAATTGGATCGCATTCTTTTCCTTTTACGCGTCCGTTCTGCGTACCGAGTGCTCGACCTTTCGGTGCGGCATGCGAGCGGCATTCGGTAGCGACTGCTTACTGCCCTCTGCCCGCATTGTCTAGGATTTCTGCATTCGCGTCGTTTCTTTTCTGGTTCCCCTTGATAGGCCCACCGGCCCGCATTGTTCGATT